GTTACCCAGCCTCCCTGGTGTCCAGGCATCCCCTGACAGATTACCATAGTGATGATGGCATCCCTGGTGCAGGCATCATCTGTCTTCTTCAGCACTGACTTAAGCAGGAGTGGGTACTTGGTGAGGCGCTGGTGCGGCTTCACCAGCATGTCACTGAGTTTTAGGCGGTTGCACTGCTTGTGCTTCTCTGCCCACTGAAAACACAGGGACAGGGTCAGCGGGGCTAGACTGTGGGGGGTCCTGGCATCACCCCTGCCCCCATCCCATCTCAGGACTTACTGTTACATAGACCCGGAAGAGGTCGCTGTCTCTCAGCAGCATGCGCATGTACTCCATGCAGCCCTCCTCCTCCATGCAGTATCGGATGTAGGGCTGGAAGAGTGTGCCAAACTGCACGGCAAGACAGACCACTCAGTGGGTGCACAGAAATCCCCACCTGAGCCCCCGGCACAGGCACCCCACCTACCGCTTTGAACCCCTTCAGGAAGTCCACAGGGTCCAGCAGTGTCCTGGTCCTACGGGCCTTCTCCAGCACAGGGAACATCACACTGTCCCACAGCGAACAGTGCAGCTGGATGATCTCCTGGATGTTGCTGAACAGGCGCTCAGCTTCTACCTGCAGGGAAGGCAAGGCATGGCAGCAGGGTCAACCCAGAGCAAGGCCAGGATCAGCCCAACGGGGCCCGGCAGGGGCATGCACTGCAGCCAGGAACTCCCTGTATGCTGGCCCACAGGGCAGGGGACCATGCTTGCCTCCTTCCCTTAACTTCTCCGGCAAACCATGAGACATGCTCGGAGTTGGCATAGGCTGTGCTGCCTCAGAATAAGGACATGCCCTGGGGGATGGGGGTCTCACCACATGCTCTGTGGGACTCTCCATTGGTCCCAGAAGCTTAGCTTCTGGTGTTTATCCCAGGGGTCTAAGCCTAAGTCCTGCCTCTCAGCAGCAGGAGTAGGAGGTGGGAACCCCTCTTCTTGTGACACACCTCCCATGTCCTTGTGACACTGCACTGTGTGGATGGACGGAAGGGCTGGTTAAGGGGCACACATTTTCCTGAAGTGGCCTGTGGTGCAGGCTGTTGAAAGCCCCATGCTCAGGCCCAAGAAACACTCTGTGGCCAGCAGCCCTTGTCCATAGTCCTGTCTCCGCCAAGCCCTTACCTCACACAGCAGCCCCAAGTCCTGCAGGCTCAGCAGGCAGCAGAGGAAGAGCTGCACAAATAAGCAGAGAGCATAGTGTAGAGCAGATACATCCAGCCCCGCAGGAAACTTCCCTGACACCTGCCAGGGTCTCCAGCCTGTATGAAAAGTGACAGGGGCCAGGAAAGGCAGAGCCACCCTGCCTGGGCGGCCCTGTGCCCTGGCTGGTCTCTGAGCTTCTCTTGCCCACTGGGGGCTGGAGGCAGGGAAGGGCTGACAGGTGCACCACAGAATCCTGCAGGAGGGACCACGACTGCTCACAGCAGGGTGAGGACCAGCCACCCACAGAACCTGTCCACCCCTGCTCCTAGTATGGACAGAGCCACATGACAGGCCCATGGCTTGGTCCTCTGCCCCTAGCACAGTCATCACTGCCTCCCAGGACCAGGAGGTCTCTGCGACCACACCCCTCAGGATTGTCCCCTTGGCTGGCCCTCTGGGAGGCTGGCTCTGCCCAAGTGCCTGTGGCAGGGGTGGGATGGGACTCACATCTGTGATCACTTTCAGTTTCCGGATGTAGGTAGCCTCTGTGTGCAGCAGCTCCCAGATGGCCTCCTGCTGGTGGCACTGCCGGCGTGTCAGGGCCTACAGAAGGGCACAGGGAGCTCAGCACCAAGGCTGTGGTGCCAAAACCCAGCAGCTGACAGAGGCAGCAGCAACACCAAGGAAGATATCATCTTGTAGCCCAGCCTCCATGGTGACAGCACTCCCACCTGCCACTATTGTCCCTAGGCCCCAAGGCAGCTTAGGCAAGGCTCAGGGTATGCAGGCTCTAGGGAATCAGATACCACCAGGATGGCACTCCAGGCAGGAGCAGGGAGGAGCCCAGGAGATAAAGCCGCCACCCACCTGCTTGGCCACCTGATGGGACCAGGGGAGGCTCAGGGTGGCTGCTATGCTTGCCCAGCTGCACACAGGCACTGGGAGGAGACAAGGCACCACAGGGACTCAGCAGCAGCTGGAAGCATCTCTGCAGGCTGCTGCTGGTGGCAGGCAGCAGGTCCCCGCCCCTGCCTCAGCCCAATGCACCTACAAAGCCCATAGCCTACAAAGGGTGCCAGGGCTGTGGCAACCCCCATCACAGCAGGCTGGCTTGAGTCAACATCCATGAGTGCACTGTGCCCCACCTCTGTGCCCTCAATGATCTCCTGCCAGCTGTCTTCCAGGCACAGATTGGCATCATCACCCTTCTCCTCCCAGGAGTCCTTGTCAAAGTAGAGCTGCTGTGGGGGCTTGGGGAGACCTAAGATGCTGTAGCTGTGGAGCCTGCTCTCCAGCTGCTCCATCTTGTCGATCTCCTGGAGGGAAGAGCACAGCACCCTGGTCAGGAGCCATGGCCCAGGCATACCCGGACCCCCTTGAGGCAGCTTGCTCCAGGGAGCAAGAGCAGAGCTCCTAGCTTCCCAGCCCCACAGGCAAGGAAGGGATAGGGCAGGTAGCTGAGCCCTGGGCAACATGGATGCATGGCCAACTATTAGGAGATTCATGCCAGGAGGGGTGCGCAGAGCCACTGCCCAGGCTGCTGGCAAGCATGGGCAATGTGGAGATCAGAGGGCACCCAAGGGAGTGGGACCAGACCTCCCCAGATCACACAGTGCCCACAGGCAATGGAAAGGTATGGGGTACGGACTACACTGCCCACCCTCCCTGTCCTTCCCATGCCACTGCAGAAGCCCTGAGCAGTCACTCCCCACCCAGCCCTAGACACTGTGGCTCAGCTGGCACACAGGACCTACCCGTCCTGATGGGCCAGTGCTGGCACCAGAGCCAAAGAAACCACTGAAGCGGCTGGCAGCACGATTCTTCCAGGTGTCGCTGCCACTGCTAGGCAGGGAGCTGCTGCCATGCAGTGCAGGCTCAGCCCCTGGGATGCTTGTATCCCCCAAGAACTCAGTCATGTTCTTCCTCCGTCGACCTGGTGCCTGCAACAGGGAGAGTAGAACCACAACCTGAGGCAGCAGCAAGGAGTGCACAGCAGACACTCACTCTGTCTCTCCCTGCCCTGGCAGCATCCACAGAAGCCGGCGCCTTGCCTGCACCACCCATATGTGGGGTGTGCACCGATGGGTGTAGCCCTGCACCTCTGGGAGCTGCCTCTGTCCCATGTACTTGTTCCTCCCTGGGTGCCAGCAGGTGGAGGCTGTGGCCAGAGACACTGAGCATGCTCTGGGCAGCTCACTGGGAACTGGTCTGTTGGGGATGCCCAGCACCAGCCACCTGCACCTTATGGTGCTGATGAATGCTGCTTCCCTACCACCTGTGACCAGGGGCCATGTTGGGCCCTAAGCACCACCACTCAATGCAGTGGGCAGTGCTGGGCCCCTGGGCCTCAACTCTCAGGGAAGCAGCCTCTGCAGGTTCCTGCACCACTGGGCCCTGCTCCAATGCTGCTAGAGCTGGATGGGGATATCTCCATGGGCTCACCCAGGTAGCTACAGCCCACCAGTCCCTGCAGAAGGGACCTGTGCACCTCAGCTCCAGAGCAAAGCCCAGAGCCCTGCAATAGCCTCATGTGGGAAAGTGGGAAAGAGCAAATTCCAGGACCCTTTGTGTCTTCTGTGGTTCCACGAGTGCCATGACCCCAGCTCCCCAGAGGGCCATGCTCCCTGTGCATGGGGAACTGCATCTGTGACAGCTCATCTCTGCCCTTCCAAGCAGAGATCAGCAAATGACAGCCAGACAATGCTGCCTGCTCTGGGCACACAGCTCCCAGCTGCCTCTGCAGCCCTTGCCTGTGGGATGGTTGGGTGCATGGAGCTCTACACTGTTCACCCAGACTCTTAAGTCAGGCTGGGCTCAGCTTGGTCTCCACAGCCCATGGGCTCCAGCCATGTTCTCCAACCCAATGGCATACCCCTCAGTTTAACACCTTTGCTCTCTCAGAGCTGGGCCCAGTCCCCAGACCACAGTATTAGCACAGGCAGGCACCAGCAGAGTGGGCTAAACCCCAAGTACTAGCATTGCCAAATGGTGCAGTGAGACCTCTCCACCCCAAGCTGTCAGGGGACAGTTAAGCCTGCAGCCTGCCAAGGGCACACAGGAGCAGCCCAGCCCATGCCCACAACATCAAAAACAGCCCAGACCCAACTGGAGCCCCCACTGCTTCCCTGATACCGCACTCCTCCCATCTCCTGATGGACTCACTCCAGGTGCTGACTTGCTCGGGCTGCCCCTCGCACTCCAGGAGCTGAAGCCAGCATCTGTCTACCCCCACCCTTACCACTACTGAGACACACAAATGTACCTTGCCCCTTCATGGAGGCAGTGCCTGAGTGCATCACAGCAGCATGTTCACTCAGTCTCACAATGCCTCCCCACCCAGATGCCTGCCCCACTCGTGGGGGCAGGGGGAGCTGAAGGACACAGAGGTTCAGTGCCCAGGGCCATGGAGGGGGAGCAGCAAGGCCATGGAGCATAGCAGCGTAGAAGAAGAACCTTGGCCATGGGCCTGGACCTAATGCCAGGCACTGCCCAGAGGGCTCAGACCCTGACCAGCTGAGCCCAGTGCAGCACCTCTCCCATGGACCCCTGGCCCTCCACACACTGTCTGAGCCAGATTTGGGAGGCCTTGGTCCCTCCCTCCCGCACTCCCCTTGCTCTCCCCTTGGCAGGATCAGAGCACCCTGCCCAGTTTCCTGAGCTGCAAACCGAGCAGAGCTACAGGCAGCAGTGCCTTACCCCTCCTGCCTGCCCCCCTGCACACTGACCTGGCTGCCCGAGTCCCTGGAGGGAATCCTTGTGTTGCCCTCACTCATGGAGCATAGGTTGGTCCCAGCTCCTCCAGGCCTTGAGGGGGCCAAACACCACTGTAATGCCTGGCTTCTCCTTCATGCCAAGCCTGAGGCAGCCCAATGTGTGCCAAGGACAGGGCCACAGAGGAAACAATGTCTGCCCCTTGCGTGGGTGCAGGGCACCCACCCGAGCCCCACAGCAGGACAGGCCAAGTCCTGGGGGCCCCACAGCAGAGCAGAGACTCAGGGGGGTCTTCCCTCAGCCCCAGTCCCCAGCAGAAAGCACCCAGCCCTGCTCTAGAGGGACTGAGACTCTACTTGACAAAGGGAGGTGGGGCCTGCAGAGAAAACCTAATTACCCTCCTGTCTAGATAAACTAAAATGATTGGAGCCATTCAGTGGCCAAAATCAAAGCCCCAGGCCTGCTGCAGCCTGGTGTGCTGGCATGGCAGCATTTCCAAGCCCTGTCCCTGCCCAGGAGTCAGGAGCACAGGCAGCAGGAAGGGTACTAATGAGTCTGAGGGCAGCTGGCTGCAGACAAGGAACCCCTCCTCTAGGCTGCAGACTGTGCTGCAAAGGGCCTCCAGCTGTCAATCACCCATCAGGACCTACAGCTCCTTGGGCCCAGGGGCAAGTGGCCTGGAGGGAGGGGTGGGTTTCTGCCTGGCAGCTCCCCAAAGCAGTACCCTGGTGTTGTGGGGGTAGATGCTGCTGCTGGAGCTACGTCTCCGGAGCTGTTCCTCTCTTGCATTGTGCCCCTGAAGCCAGCTCCCTGTATGCTCCCAGATGACAAGCCAGCCCTATTCTGCCCGCTTTGCCCAGGGATGGCTACTGCCTGCCAGCATGCCTGGCTGCCACCTGTCACTCCTCACAGACGCAGCCTACCCCCTCCCCCTCCAGCACCCCACTAGCCACACATGTTCCTTGTAGGCTGATGTAGGGCAGAGATGTGAGTGCCTGGCCTTTGGAGATTGAACCCCTGTCCGCTAGGAACATGCCAGGGTGCAGGGCTTCCCCTCCCTCTCTCAGCACAAGGATGCCGGCATTGTCAGCTGCCCACACCAGGCGCACACCTTCTTCTGGCACTGTGCTAATGGCCTGAGAGTATCTTGCAGGCTGGCCCAGCCCTGGCCCAGGCAGGGCAGTCGCAGGGCTGGGGCTTGCACTGTCCTTTATAACCAGATGATGGTGAAGGCAAGTGACTGGTGCTACCTGCTGATGCCCCCAGGGCTCACTCCTGGGGACACTCCTGTGAGGAGTTCTCCATGTGCTGTTACACTCATGTGGTCCCGACACGTGGATGTACTCAGCACAAGTTCTGCCTGCTGGCAGCCCCAAGAACCTTGTGGAGGGAAGCACCTGGACACCCGTCTGATGTGTCTGCACAGGGGCTGGAATCAGAGTAGCTGAAGACAAGCCATGATGGGACTAGCTACAACCATAATGATGGGAGCAAGGGATTGTGAAAGTCTGGACAGAGGGGCTGAAAGAGCGGAAGGGCAGAAGGGGTGCTCCCAAAGGCAGGCTAGGCATAGGTAGGTGAGGAAGTTCCCCAAGGAAGTGAAACCACTGCCCTGGTTCCCAGAAGCCAGAGTGATCCCTGCTCCTGAGCACTCTCTCATCAAGGGGCAGGAGCCCAGCCTCCATTTCCAGGGGGCTCCCACCACGCTGCCCCTGAGGATACTCACTCTGTCTGTGCACCCTGCCACCTCCTGTCCCAGGTGGTCTCTGGCTGCCCTGTGGCAGTCCAGCTCCAGAGCTCGCATCTCCCCCCTGAAGCATGGCCTAAATCCTTGGCCACTGGCCTTGCTCTGCTGACGCTTCTGGCCTGCTGGCTTCTCTCCTGCTGTGGCCATCCCCAGCCCAGCCATCCTCGTGGGGGGGCGGGGAGCCCCCAGAAAAGCATTGTAATGTTGGATTCGGTCAGCCACAAACCCAGGGGACACCGCAGGCTTTTCCACCAAGGTAGGTATCCTAGCTGGGGCTGGGGGACTTCCAGGGAAGGGGCTGAAGCGCGTGAGGCAGCTCTGCTCAGGGACCTGGTAGGTCCTATCATTTTTGAAATACCAGGTCTTGGATCGCGGGCTCAGCATCAGGCCGACTGTGGTGGAGGCCCGGACTGGAGTGAAGTCTGCTCTTGCAGCAAGGGTTGGGCGAGCCCTCTTATCATCCTTTATCTGAGGCCAGGAGTCCACAGTGCAGCCCTGGGAGCGGGTTCAAGGGAAGTGAGTGGAGCCCTGCTCACACCTGCCTGCCAGGAACCATAGGGCCTTTCAGGGATCAAACTGCAGAGGCACTGCCCAGCCGGAGTGGCACACCCCTGGTGAGGACTCTGAGACAAGCCAATCCTGCGGCAGGTCAAGAAGTTGCAGGCCAAACTAGGACAGGCTCCAATACCAGGCCATCAGAAATGCAGTGCACATTGGAGACTAGTTCCTGTTTGCCTTTGTCGTGGAAACCAGCCCTGATCTTGGTATCAGCATCGACCCCACCTACACCAGGCACAAGCAGCCACTGCCAGCTGGCAGGAGCTGGGTGTCTCCTGACACCCCCACTGCCTGTCTGCATAAAGATTATGGGGCTGCGTGCTGCAAGCTGGGCAGAGAAGCTGCTCCCAGCCCTGGCACCCCTGCACAGGATCTGCTGCAGTGTCAGCTGTGAAGGTGTGGGCAGCCCTGCCAGGCTAAGCACCTGCCCCAACTCAGGCTACCAACAGCTCTGTCCTGGCAGAGCAGGACCTGCCACCTCACAGCTGTGGGGCAAAGAAGTGTAAGGAGCTGAGACAGAGGCAGGAGTGGGCCTTCCTGCCTGCAGTGAAAACACCTCTGCCTGGGCTCAGCACAGAGAGGGGCAGGGGTAAGGGTGGAAGCCAGCTACCAGGAGTGGTGTCAGGCTGTCTCTCTCAGGAGACAAGGCCCAGACCTGGACACTGTCAGCTGGGGCTACAGGACATGCCAGGATGGGCCACAAGCACTCTGCTTCCTGTGCAACAGCCCCTGAAGCTCTGGCAGAAAAGTGCACCTGCCTGCTTCCAGATGAGGTGGCACTGGCCAAAGGCCTGGGCTTTGCCCCAGACAGGCAATCAGGCCCAGCAGCCTGGTTCCTACCCTGCCGCTGTGTATGCACTCAACAGAGGCAGAGGCAGCGGTAGAGGCAGCAGCAGTGGCAAAGGCAGGGTTGCACAGTCCCATCGGTCAGGCTCGCATACTAGGCAGGGTCACACACACATATCCTCACAAACCACCCACCCCACACACACCTCAGAGTCCCACCAGACAGGGCCTCTGGCCAGTGCCCTGTCTCACTTGTTGCAGATGTCTCCCAGCCCTCTACCTTGAAGCCCAGGCAGAAGGGAAGCCCAAACAGCCAATTCAACACTGCCCTCTACCGACGCAGGCCCCAGCTTCACTGCCATGAGAACACCGTGTCTCATGGGCCCCTTCCAGCAGCCAGCAGCCAGCAGCCAGCAGCCAGCAGCCAGCAGCCAGCCACCTGCTCTTGGCCAGGTACTTAGGAAGGTTCCTGGGGCCAGTGGAGAGACAGCAACCAGATCCTGGAACTCCTGGCAGCAGGCTGAGAGTTAACTTCAGGTGCCTCTCTATGGCCTGGGCTCACCCCTGGCTGTGCCTTGGCTCCACCCCACCCAGCTGTTTTCACCATGCTCACCCTATCCTCTTCTCCCTGCCCTGGCTATTTGCTCTGTCTCCTAGCAGCTCTTCCGGTTCCCACAGTCAGGACTTGCAAAGTGCAGCTGGTGCTCAGAAGAGGTGACAGGCGTCAGGCTGATGACAAGGGAGGTGGCACTGTACGGACACCTGACTAAACAGCAGGGGTCCCTAACAGCTCTCCTCAACCAGTTTGTGTCCTCTGTCAAGAGCACCCTGTGGCAATGCAGGAACCAACTGGTGCAGACACACAGAGGTCGAGGAAACAGACTGTCAAAATGTTTCTAAGTGAACTCCAGTCCTGCTACCGAAAAGTGGTGGGAGAGGACAGAGAAGATGTAGCAAACTCCACTTGGCAAAGGGACTCTTGGCAAAGGCTATTCAAAGACATCCTGAGAGGCAGAGTGTTCAGCTACAATGAAGATGACAGTGACACAACCAGACCTCGAAACGGCAACGATGACAACAGCAGTGTCAGCAGCAGCAGAAGCAACAGTGAGCATGACAGTGACAACAAAAAAGATAGGGAATAAATGGACACTGTAAACCCCGACAGCAGGGGGAGAACTAAGAGACTACATTACAGGAAGGACTGTGGACAGGTGTGCGGGAGCATGGGGGCATGGATGCGCAGGTGTGACCATTGTAATGGGTGCGCAGGGTTTAAATACATTTAAGGTTTGCGTAGAAATGCTTATGCGGAATGCTGTGTGTGTATATGTGTGTGTGTATGTGTGTGTATATATATATACACACACACACACACACACACACACACACACACACATATATACACACGTATGTAACTATATATATATAGAAATATATATTTAAAAAAAAAACAAAATCTTCTGGCATTTGGTCTGTCAAATGAACCACAGGGGCCACTTGGCAGGGTGTTGGAAGTACA